AAAATTTTTTTTTTTTTTTTTTTTTTTTTGTCTGTTTTAGCCCGTTACATATCGTGTCAGTCTCACGGTTTTAAAACATGTCTATTAGAAAGAGATTTCCACACCCTTATAAGAAATGCATCGTTCCCCTCTCAAGTTTTAGCCCGTTACATATCGTATCAACCTCACAATTTTAAAACGCTTCTACTAGAAAGAGATTTTCACACCCTTATAAGAAATGCATCGTTCCTCTCTCAAACCGACATAGGATCTCACAATCCATGTAACAGCCCAAGCCTAGTCCACAGCTAGCAGATATTGTCTTTTTTGGGCTTTTCCTTCCGGGCTCCCCTCTCAAACCGACGTAGGATCTCACAATCCATGTAACAGCCCAAGCCCAGTCCACTGCTAGCAAATATTGTATTTTTTGGGTTTTTCCTTCTGAGCTCCCCTCTCAAACCGACGTAGAATCTCACAATCCATGTAACAGCCCAAGCTCAGTCCACCGCTGTATATATTGTCTTTTTTGGGCTTTTCCTTCCGGGCTCCCCTCTCAAATCGACGTAGGATCTCACAATCCATGTAACCGCCCAAGCCCGTCCACCGCTAGTAGATATTGTCTTTTTTGGACTTTTTTCTTCCAAGTTTCCTTTCAAAGTTTTAAAAAGCATCTGTTTAGGAAGAGATTTTTAGACCCTTCTAAAAAATGATTTGTTTCACAATTCTAGATTGCGAAATCTCTTATTAGTTGGAGAGGGGAACGAAACCTTCTTTACAAGGGGTGGAAACCTCTTACTGCCACCAAACACATTTTAAAAACCTTGAAAGAAAATCCAAGAAAAGGAAGTACAAATAGGACAATATCTGCTAGCAGTGGGCTTAGTTGTTACAATCCACCCCTTGGGAGTCTAGTGTCCTCATTAGCACATCACTCAGTGGGCTGAGCTGTTACAATCCACCCCTTGGGAGCCCAGCATCCTCGTTAGCACATTGCACAGTATCTATCTCTAATACCAACTGTAACAATTCGAGACCACTTCCAGTAGATATTGTATGTTGTATTCGGTTACACATCGCTATTAGTCTCACGATTTTAAAACGCATCTACTAGGTAGAAGTTTCTACACCCTTATAATAAATATTCCATTCCCTTCTCCAACCGACGTAGAACGTCACTGTTCTTGCCGAAAACCTATTATTAGTTATAGAATTAACAAACAAACAATCTCGAACACAATCCATTTAAATATCCTCTTTTCTATACAAAGAACATGCTTGGAAACACTCTAATTCTACTTCAATTATTAAACCAAAAAGATCAATTTTGATCTTTGAAAATGCTACCTACTCTTCATATATGCATATCCACTTTGTGTTATGGCCTTGTCAAAGCTATCCATTATAGGAACATTACTTGACTCATTAGCTATCTCAGCTCCCCCAATGTTTGCTTGTTGCAGAAGCTCCATAAGCGATACGAACACGTTTATCCTTGTAACGCTCCGGTTAGCCTGCAACAACACAAGTTAATCAGTCATCGAACATAATACTACAAATCATATTCGGTCTCGGTTTCTTACATTTAGCTTCACCTCGACCACAAACTGAGCCCATATCTTCTCCTCTCGAACTTCCATCACCCCTTTCAAAATCGTCAATCCATAGCTACGAATCATCTCGGCTATCTCGAGAAAGAACCCTCTTTCCTCGCATAGCATCTAAACAAAGAACAATAGAATCACGTCAAAAAGAGGTTTCGACGACCGAACATATAACACTTGATCTCCTAACCTCTATTAGCATTTGGCCTGGTGAGCTAAGGTCTTCGACTATAACTGGGCAAACCATTGGCGTCGATCCCATTTTGAACGCCCAGGTAACCCCGCCACCTCCTCTCTCCGTCGTACATTTGTCACTTATACCCACTCCGTTCTCTTGGTCAATCAACTGTAATTTGAAAAATTAGTTAGGTGTGAACTAGTAAGAAAATAACGAGGGACGAGAATTAAATACTGACCTTTGGTTCGTTAGTTTCTTTAAGCTTATCGGCGTATTTCGTCACGCTTTGTAAGAAAAGCATGTATTTGATCGTTCGATCCAACAACGAGTCGATGCTACACTGTTTCATCGATCAAAAACATACATGTCAAATGCTGCAATAACAAGGCATTATTAACGATTCGACGTGAACTAGATTTGTACCTTTGCACCACTCGGGATAATTCCTCGTAACTCTTTGATACGATCTTGGATCTGTTGTCGATCTTTCGGTCTCGGACGGTTACTCTCACCCGGTCTAGCCCTTTTCTTAAAAGTCTTAGCAGCCTCTTCACTCTTATGGGATGGTTCTAAGATGGAGCCTCCAATATTGATGCTATAGCTGTCGTCGATCCATGAACTTACTTGTGACTTCGGTACAGCTTCGTTCGTACTCGGGAAACTGTCAACCGTGCACAACGGTTGTGTCAGATTCACGTCGATGCAACGGTCGAGTGACGATCTTTCGATTTTCGACCTTTTCGAGGCAATCGTTTGATGATTCTCAATACTTGATTTAGTAGCAGAGCTAGTGTTACTTAGACCATCCAAAAGTTCTTCAATTCCCAACTCCCAGAATAATCTCTTGCGGGGGAGATCCAATGACCCCGTGGCTAACTTCGACGTGCACGTCGACATACTGTTGCAGCCGCTCGAGTAGCTGCCATGAGCTTCGGTTACTATGTTATCCCAAGTTTTGACCACTGGACATCCTGTAGCTAACCCCAAACTATCAAAGAGTCTATCTTTTGTATCCTGCATATCTTGTCCATTAGTTATTAGACTTTGAGCGGAAACAACCGACGTTTTGCTCGGATCGTCTTCGAACTTACGAGCTTCAACTAAATTAGATGACAGTGTCGAAACTCCAGTCGGAAGGCTATGGTTCAATGCTGTAGTTACTCCATCGGTTCCGATCTCTGGTGAAGAATCAAACCATTGAAATAGATCATCCACGGACGAGATGTTCGGAAGATTGATGATAAAATCCTCGGTAAGACGCTCATCACAGAAGTCGGGTAGGCTCGTTATGCTGTCTATAAGTTCACCTTCATTCATGGGAAGTAACTGAGACGACGGTTCAACATTGTCGATAGGGAGAGAACCTATTCCACTCGAGACGGACGTGAATATCGTGCTATTGTTTCCATATTCCGTTTCGTTTCTACAAGATTCGAGCATATTAGCATCTGAGTAACTTGGATATTGAGCATCTTGTTCTCGAACATCGGATGTTGGCAGTGGCTCGGATGAAGTTAACACGGAATTCTCGCTACTTTTACTGAAGCACGACGTATCGTAGACCGGTTGTTTATCAGTTGAAGCATATGATTTCCCTGAGAAGTTTGTATGCATGGCACTGAGACTCCAGTCATCAGAATTTGTAGACGAGACGATGGACGTGAAAAGCTCGTTAACGTGACAGATATCGGTGCTCGAAGCCACCGGAGTAGTTTCCTCATGTACTCGACACAACGACTTCTTTGTGTCTGCCAAAAACTCCAAACTTTCCGAGATCTGCAGCAAAAAGAACGAACTATTCAATCCCGGTCGAGCTAAATAAACAGAATTCGAAGCATCGATGATTCACAAGAGGATTATATGTAACCTTATGAGTAGAGCCGAGTTGTAGAACTCCATACGGTTGAACGGGAATTACTGCAACAGTCTGCAATCGACACGATCACATCAGCTAAAACGAACGAGTTAATCAAAGTAGAAACACAAAGCAAGCACGGTAACGAAATAATGTTGTAACGGCCAAGCCCACCACTAACAGATATTGCCCAGTTTGCCCTGTTACGTATTGTCATCAGTCTCACGGTTTTAAAACGTGTATGTTAGGGAGAGGTTTCCACACTCTTATAAAGGATGTTTTGTTTTCCTCTCCAACCAATGTGAGATCTCACAATCCACCCTCCTTGGAGGCCCAACATCCTCGTTGGCACACTGCCCGGTGTCTGGCTCTGATACCATTTGTAACAGCTCAAACCCATGGCTAACAGATATTGTCCGTTTTAACTCGTTACGTATCGCCGTCAGCCTCACGGTTTTCAAATGCGTCTGTTAAAGAGAGGTTTCCACACTCTTATAAAGAATGTTTCGTTCCCCTCTCCAACCAATGTGGGATCTCACAATCCACCCTCCTTGGAGGCCGAGCGTCCTCGTTGGCACACTGCCCAATGCCTAGCTCTTATACCATTCTTAACAGCCCAAGCCCACCACTAACAGATATTATCCACTTTGGCCCGTTACGTATCGTCATCAGCCTCACAATTTTAAAACGCGCCTATTAGGGAGAGGTTTCCACACTCTTATACAGAATGTTTCGTTCCCCTCTCCAAACAACGTAGAATCTCACAAATATTGTTTCGTAAAACTTCGACAAGAAACCAACCGGCATACCTTTATCCCACAGAAGAATTGCTGTTCAAACTCCAAATTATCCTGCAATAAGAGATGTCATCAGATGTCGGAGATCAAGACGTAATTAATGACCAAGAACATACGGGTCAACTCGAACATAGCTCAATTGGTTAAGATATATATCCTGGCCAAGAGTTCAGATGTTCAAATCCCCACCCCACCATTGAACTCGATAGAATAAACGGAAACAAACGAGTACCTGAAACATAGCGGAACTCCATACGCCAACGTAAGCATCTGAAAAAACCCATCTGTGCTTTCCAGTGAAAGCAGCTGTGCCAATGACTCTGAGAACAGACCATATATTGAGTTAAGAAACAAAAAAACACAAACATATGACATAACGAAAGGATTGAACTCAAACAAAATATAATATAATGAAGAACAGACAGCTTACCCTTCACCAAGCATGTGAACTTGTTGAAGCATATTTGTGGCCACCAGCCCCACTTGCTCTTCATACCAAAAATCTTCCAAAGTCAACAACCTATATGCATACCAACAACATAGCCTATGGTAAGCATAGTGTTGTAACATCACCACTCGACCCAAGAACGAATCGAAGTTGATGATTGATAGTATATTCGAACCAACAAACGATCGTTGATATTAATTAGAAACGAAATGATATCACAAAAGTTTGAACATAAGAACGAAAGTCATATTCATACCATAAACTTGTTAGTCTACTTGCATTGAAAGGAAGTGTTAAAACTTTAGAAATTGAAACACAATATATCTTTTGAAACGTTCAACCCACCGCTACCAAATATTGTCCTCTATGGATTTTTCCTTTCGGGATCCCTCAAGGTTTTTAAAACGTGTCTGTTAGGGGAGGTTTCCACACTCTTATAAAGAATGCTTCGTGCTCCTCCTCAACTGATGTGGGATCTCATAATCTACCCCTTTCGAGGCCCAGCATCCTTGCTAGCACTCATTCCCTTCTCCAATCAATGTGGGACCCACTCAATCCGCCCCTTTCGAGACCCAGTATCCTTACTGGCACACCGCCTCGTGTCCTCCCCCTTTGGGGCTCATACTCCTCGTTGGCACATCGCCCCGTGTCTGGCTCTAATATCATTTGAAACGACTCAAGCCCACCACCTCTTTACACTTTCCCTTTCAGGTTTCTCCTCATGGTTTTTAAAACACGTATGCTAAAGAGAGGTTTCCACACCCTTATAAAGAATGTTTCGTTCTCCTCCCCAACCGAGGTGAGATCTCATAATCCACCCTCTTTTAGGGCCCAGCGTCCTTGTTGGCACTCGTTCCCTTCTTCAATCAATGTGGGACCCCCCCTGATCCACCCCCTTTTAAGGTCCAACGTCCTTACTGGCACAAAGCTTCGTGTCCACCCCCTTCGAGGCTCATCCTCCTCGTTGGCACATCACCCAATGTCTAGCTCTAATACCATTTGAAACAACTCAAGCCCACCCCTAACAGATATTGTCCTCTTTAGGCTTTTCCTTTCGGGCTTCCTCTCAAACATTTTAAAACGAGTCTACTATGGATAGATTGGACGTGTAATCTCATCTATTTAATATTTGATTCATATTCTTAAACAAGAAAATGAAAGCAAAACCACAAGAACAACACAAAAACAGAAGAAATTCTTCAAGAAACAAGAAAATATGAAATGGGTAAGCATCTTACATGGAGTTTCTTCGATCAAAGCTCCAAAAAACACCATAAGACCATCGATTACCGCTGCAAATGCGATTAAGAACCAAACCCAACTCTGTTTCACCCATTGGATTAAAAACACCAACAAATGAATCCAAAATCAACAGAGTTGAAACAAGTTCATACAGATTCAAACCCACCAACAAAAACCCAAATCCAAACTCCAAAGAACAACCAAAAACCAAAAACAAAGCAGCAGCTCAGCTAAGCAGAGCACTTCAAACAGAAATGGATGAACAAAAGCAACATGAAAAGGGATGAACAACAGCTTTATATCAAGAGAAACACGAAATGGGCATCAGGATTCTGTGATTTTGTAAGCGTTGAAAGGACAAAAAGAGGGAATGAAAATGGAGGAGCAAAGGAAACACACAGATCTTTCGCATTTGATATGTTCGCCTAAATTTGTCCTCAAATGCGCCCTTCTTTCCCCCACTTTTTTCTCGCTCTTTTTTCCTTTCCCCCTCTTTTTACCGGCTATAGCCGGTGCCGGTTGTCTCCACTTTTTTTTTTCAGTAAAAAAAAAAAAAAACAGACAAATTTTGGACAATAGATATCATCTGTCTTCTAAAAGTCACTTTTGATTCACTATTATTATTCACTTTTTCTAAACACAATTATTTAAAATTTAAAAAAAATTAAAAAAAAAACTTTTACTCCAATTTTTAAATAATTATGTTATTTATATAATTTAATAAATATTTTCACGTCATTAAAACATTTTTATCAAGATTTAAAAGATTTTAACGACGATAAATATTTATTTAAATATTAAATTTTCATTTTTGAAATTTAAAAAAAAGATTACATTTTGATTGTTTAATAAATATATTATATAAAAAAAAATATTGCAATAAATGGGATGAATTAAAATTTTTAATGATTAATTATTTCATATTTAACCTAAAATCAATGTTCATAATGTTGGGGTTTTCAAATTTATAAAATTTAATTAAGAAATTATTATAAACCTCATTACTTGTAGTAATGACATATTAATTAGTTATAACTTTTCTAATTTATTGTAAATCTTAATGAACCATCTTAAATTATATTTCTTTATAAAAAAAATTTATATAATTATTCTTTTAACTAATATATTATCTAATTAATTATTAAACTAGATTGTGTTTTTACGATAATAATTCACTATTTATTCCATTATTCTAAAATTAAATTATTTATTATTTTGATATGATATATATATATATATATATATCCTCCAAAAATAACTAATTTTAATAAAAATAAAATTGACAATTATAACTCTTTAAAATAATAAGTAATATTTATTTTTTAATAATCTAAAATCCCACAAATTTAATATCCAATACGCATTTTATGATTTTTTTAAAATAATTATTATATTTTTTCTTGTAAAAAATTAATATGTTGAGTTAAATATTTATTAAAGTTTATGATGTAATTTCGTTAAAAATGTAGGGTAGGAAGTTAAATTATTTTGGATATGTGTACTTTTCAGCAAATTAAAAATAAATAAATAAATAAAAGTTGAAAACGGCGAATGGGAAGAAGAGAAGGGGGACAGAAGAGAATATTCTGAGTGGGGCCCACAATAAGGGATGAGATGAGTAATATGAAAGGGAGCCAAAGGAAGGTGGTCCCCACCTGACCTGCTCAGTCAGTCCTCAGTTCTTAACTACCATTTTCATTTTTTTTATTATTATTATTATTTTTTAAATAATTAGTTTAGAGGTTAGATTTTTTACCAAGGTTGAAATTTTGTTGCTAAATATTTAAATTTTTTACAGTTTTTTTAAAAAGTAAAATTTACAATGTCCTATTTAATTAAAATATTATAATTAAATAATAATAATAATAATAATTTTATACAAATTTAAAAATAAACAAATAAAAAATTACTGTTAAAATATTTATTGCAAAATGGAGATCGAAAAACCAAACGCAAAATAATTGACACCCCTAAATACATAGAGACTAATGCCTCAAAACGACTCTATTTTGTGACGGTGCATTTCTCGAACATTTCTCTACTTCAACTAATTATCAACAAGCATCTGAAAAAGAAAAAAATTATTAAAAAATATCGAGAAAATGGGCATTAAAAAAAAGAAATATATCATATTATTATTAATATATATATATAAATAAATAAAAATTGATGTGCCCAACATTCTCTCTCTATCCTTGGTTTGACCATTCACCTACCTTATGTCTACTTCCCCACCACTTTATTTATTTATTCTCATAAATATTTTCCACTTTTTTTTATATGATTTATTTTAGATTTTCAATTAGATTTGTTTTTATTATTTAAACATTAAAAAGTTATTTAGTTATTTATTTATTATTATTATTATTTTATCTTCTTTTTCCCATGCATGCTTTGCTTTCTATTCCCATATAATTCCCTCTTTTTATTTTGTTTTAATTAATGTAAAAATTTTTGAAAAGTTCTTCATGTCCCACACTTTATTTGAATTTATTGTTGCGAGATCCTAAGATCATCTATGGGATATCAAAAGATCGACGCTCGATTTCATTTGTTGGTATCGATATCGATTTGGGTTTGAGACTTTTTAGAACAAAAAACCGTTCACGTGAATAGCACTATATCAACTTAATCAAACATTGTTTGACTAGCCACTTTGAGATATTACTATCTCGACCATTTGAGATACTACCGCAAAAGTATCGATGTTGGGAGACCAAAAACTATACGGCTTTTTCAAGAAAACCCGAGTATTAAAAATTTAACTCTATTGAAGTTGAACTATGCTCAAAAGAGTCAATGGGTATTTTCAGATGTTAGGTGAAATATCTATTACACTAAACATGTTGCAACGTACGCTCTCGAACATTAGCTCGAAGTACTTTCTCTACCTCTTGTTACCCTGAAAAGAACATGGTTCTTGAGTCTTTGAACCGATAACCTTCTTTCGGCTAACCCTCTGTTCCTCGAGACATTGTCTCGAGCTATTTTCTCTACCTCTTCTTACCCTAAAAAAGCAGGGGTCTTGAGTCCTTGAACTAATAACCATCTTTTAGCTAACCTAGCCTCCTCTGTCCCTCGGGACATTGGCTCAAGCTATTTTCTCTACCTCTTCTTACCCTGAAAAATCAGGGGTCTTGAGTCCTTAAACCGCTAACCATCTTTCAACTAACCTAGCCTCCTCCGTCCCTCGAGACATTCGCTTGAGCTATTTTCTCTACCTCTTCTTACCCTAAAAAAAAGCAAGGGTCTTAAGTTCTTGAACCGATAACCACCTTTTAGCTAACCTAGCCTCCTCCATCCCTCGGGACCAACAAGAGGTAGCATCCCTCCAACCATGTTTTTTAAAACGAGATCGTAATTATGTTATATTATTTTTTGTAAAGTGTATGAAAAGAAAAAGAAGGGTATCCAAAGTTGTCCCAAATCTACAAGAAATCTATAGGGGGGAGGGCACAATAGCAATTATTGTTGATTAAAAGAAATATTTGTATATTGTTTTGTAAATAAGTTCTCTCTTTTGGCCTTTGAGAATGTGTTGACTTTGAGGGCACAATAGTAATTCATTTTGATTGTGATGTAAATCTCCGATCTCCACTTGACACGTGTGAAATATTCATATAATATTCTTAGTGACAATAATTTATGGTCAACCCGTACATAGCTCAACTAGTTAAAACGTATATTGTTGATCAAGAGGTTAATCCAACCCGACATATTGACCGAAGAGAAAAGAAATGACTCAGACAATGATTGTTAGAATTGTAACTGAAGATTGACCAAATAGACTCAACCAAAGCACGAGAATAATCCAACTCTACATGTTCGAACAAAAAATGAAATTGTACACTTTGGCCCGTTACATATCACCTTCAGCCTCACTGTTCTCAAAAGTGTTCGTTAGGGAGAGGTTTTCACACTCTTATAAGAAATGTTTCGTTCCTCTCTCTAACCAAGGTAGGATGTCACAGTCAACTTGAACATAGCTCAATTGGTTAAGATGTGTACTCTAAAACGAGAAGTTAATCCAACCCAACATGTTAAACTAAAAAAAAAAAAAAAAAAAAAAACCTTTTTAGACTGCACTGACTAAAAGGACATGACAGTATCAGAACACGAGGATTAAACTTATAGTTTAACCTAATACAGTACGAGCTAATAACAACACATATTGTATATATCGACTCGTTTTTTCAAAAACGTAAAAACGTAAAAACAAACCCGTCAAAGAGTTCGATATTAATTTAGTGGTAGCTAGCTAGAAAGAAGAGTATGTAAAAGTGGAAACAAATGATTAATGAGGAATGAAGGGATGATGGGATGCTTACACTTAATAAAACATACTCATTTTGTTGTTCATTTCTTAGATAGCATTTTAATCATTTATGTGGTCTCACCCAACTTTATATAATTAATCAATCTCACCCCTTTATTTTTGGGTTTCAAAAAATAAAGTGATTGGCAATGAACAAAAGGAATGAATAGGGTTAGCTAGGGTTGGTCCATGCAAGAACAATTCATCGACCCATCTCCATTTTCATCGATACTTCTATATTGACGTATTCATAGACTTAAGTTCTTGAGCTTTTTGTTGATATCCGTTACGTATCGTCGTCAATCTAACGGTTTTAAAATGCGTCTACTAGGGAGAGGTTGCCACACTCTTATAAGAAATGTTTTGTTCCCCTCTCAAACCGGTGTGGGATCTCAAGGGGACCTAGTGTCACGGTCATGCTCGTCCAAGGCGTGTTGTCCATGGCCGAATGCCCATGACAAGCCAAACCCTTTATGTCTTTCCATGTTCTAGTGTTTTACTTTTGTATTTCTAAGGAATATGACGTTTCGAAAAAATCATGTCTAGGCCTACCAGACATGAAATGCCTCAGAATGTACTACAGGGGGTATGACTAGTTGTCAACTTCTCCCTACCAATAGTTATATACTGTGAGCCGTTGTTGTTACTTTCTTGCTTGCATATATAACGTCTCTTTCAAAATCTCTCTCTGCCTTCGTTTTCTAAAACCTTCTTCTTAAACCGAGGCCAGAGGCTCGAGCATACATCGCTTGCCCGTAGGCGACGTAAGAACAAATTGGCTTAGCTCACTTGTCGTTGGAAAGTGAGTGCCGCACAATCGCAAGTCCGCTGCCATCAAGAGTGCAATTGTGACACCTAGTGTCCTTACTGACACACCGCCCAATATCTGACTCTAATATCATTTGTAAAAACTCAAGCCCACTTTTAGTAAATATTGTCTGCTTTGACCCGTTACGTATCGCTATCAGTCTCACGATTCTAAAACGTGTCTACTTGGAGAGTCTCTCACACCTTTATAAGGAATGATTTGTTCCTCCCTCCAACAGACGTATGATCTCACAATATTGTTATTTCAATTGACATATTCATAAAATAATTCTCGAGATTTTTGTCGATATCGATATTTAAAACCGCTCGGGTTTAGGTTAAAAAGAGCATAATGATGTTCCCTCTATACATTACATGCTTCATCATGAGAATGAGGTCAACTCCACCTTTTTGTATTCAATTCAAACACATATGGATTTTCTATTTTCTATTATTTATTTCTTATTTTTCCACTTGTTTGAGCTTTAAAACCTTTGCTCCATTTTCCCTTATTTCAACCAATCTCTACTTTGTTGTTTCAATGTTTGGTTTGACTTGTTTTGGATAGATTTATTTATTTATTTATTATTATTATTTTTACCATTTAGTATAAAAACGACTCCTAAATTATTTAAATTTGTAATTGTTTTCGGGGCAAATACGAGCTGTGATTAATACTCGAGAGATATACATAAAAATTAATAATTAAATGAAGAAATATCCGAGTACAAGTAGTTTTTGTAAATTTAATTTTAGAATTAGATTAAAATAAAAAAATAAAATAATTATAATTTTCTTCTCCCTCCGTCACCTAAAGAAAAAAAAACATCTTTTTTTCCCTCCCTAATTTCTCATTTAAACAATGATTCTCCAACATATTTGGAGTTAGGTCTTTATGAGACTGAACCCACAGATTAAACAGACATCCTGACCGATATCGACCGATATCAATATATATCTTAAATTTAAATAATTGTATTAAAAAAACACTTAGAACACATGGTAAATTAAATAATTGTGAATCACAATTTGTGTACTTAAAATTGAAGAAATATATTTAAATAAATAAATAAATAAATAATGGCAAAAGGAATCTAATGTCTTTAATGGAACAAAAAGCTGACAAGACAAAGAAGGCTTGTTGTTTAGGCTTTGCTTATAAGTCAGAAACTACACTCTATTATTCCATCATTTAAAAAATATATTAAATTTATAAACCGAAAAATAAATATTATCCGCTTTGACCTGTTACGTATCGCCATCAACCTTACGATTTTTAAAACATGTTTGTTCCCCTTTCCAACTAATGATTACTGAGGATTGTCCCACCTCAACTAATTAAGGAGGGCGTGAGTTTATAAATAAATAATATTATTTTTAAAAACTATTTAAATATTTACGTATTATTTCAATTTTGCCACTGTCATTGAGAATGGATGTTTGTTGGTATATTTAGGGATATGTAAAAAAAGAATATGAAAATGTGGTCTCGTTCCTTGCTCTCTAAGGTTTGTAGAAGGAGACCACTATTCTCGACACACCACATCGATCCAAAACATACAAAACCATTATGGACCCTCGTTCGGTTTTTTGGACCATTCTCTCGTGTGTCTTTTAGTTAACGTGAGGTGGGATTTGCAGTTAGGACGTTTTTGTCGAGAATATTTTAACGTTTAAACTAGGTGAGCTATTGTTTAGGTTAGCTGATTGCTCGTTAATTTAAAGATTTTAATTAGAAATAAAAAGAAAAATCAAAGAATAATAAATTATTAATATTTGGTTGATTTTAATTAGAGAAAGGCGGTAATTTTGAGGGGAAGAAATGCCGGTGATTCCGGTGACAAAGAAGGGGCAGTTCAGAAGAGTGTTCGAGTGTGGGCCGGCCTACAGGACCATTGGTGGTCCCCATTGGTATCCTACTGCCACGCCGTCCATCATAATTATTCTAATTATAATTATATTTATATAATAATACTGCCCTGAGATGAGAGGCGCGGAATGATGAGCTGTCAGTTTGTTTTCTTTTTTTTTCTTTTTTTTTTAGGAATGATGATGCTGTATTTGACGTCATCACCTCTTCTTTTTGTCCTTTTGTCTTTCTCTCTCCCCGCAATCAGGAGTGTTCTAAAAAATTGTGTTTTTTATTTTATTTATTATTATTATTTTCTCATAATTCGGCGCTTGATGGGCCTTATTTATGGGCCTTCAACCCATGATTGCTAGAAAGGTTCAAGCCCTATGGTGACCGCGGTGCGGTGGTGGAACGTGCACGGTAGGGTAGAGTTGGGTGCCTTCAGGCGTGCGACATGCGACATGTGCCTCATTGGACATCAGCTGTTGCTGATGTCCCTTTCCAACCCATGTGCCCCTCCCTCGCAACTCGGTAAGATATTGTCTACTTTAAGCATAACTTCTAGTAGTTTTGCCGGAAGATTTTCAAGTACCAAAATAGAGATATTATTATTTTTTTTTATAAAATATTATTAAATTTATTATGACATTTTATATTTTAAAATAAAATTATGTTAGAAAACGGTTGAAATGAATAAATAAGGTTACTCAAGGATGTTCTCATTTGCACTCCATCACTGCCATAATCACAGGTTTGTGTTCTTTGAATTTTGAATTTCGATTTTGTTACATTACGTTTTTCTTTCAATTTTAACTAATTTAAGCGCAGGGGAGCGACGTCGGGAATCGGAGCGGAGACGGCAAGAGTCTTAGCCAAGCGCGGCGCCAGGATCGTCATTCCGGTTCGCAACCTTAAAGCCGCCGTGGAAGTCAAGGCGCGAATCTGATCGGAATTGGACTGTTTTGATCATTCACGAATCACGGTGATGGTTCTCGATCTAAGTTCTATGAATTTCGTCCCGAACTTCGTTTCCAATTTCGAGTTCTTACATTTGCCTCTTAATCTCCTGATGTAATTCGTCCAGAAACATCGCTAATTCACTCCGTTGAATCGAAGGAACAAACTACAGTGATTTATTAAAGAAACTAAAAGACGGATTCGTTCTGATTTTTCAGTAACAGTGCCGGCAGATTCTGTTACGAACGCGCAATTTCTGAAGACGGAATGGAGATGACGTTCGCTACGAATTATCGAGGTAAGTACGCAGAACAAAAATTTTCGTGTCTAATCATGAGAACTTCTGCCATTATTAATCTGATCGATCATGTAGGTCATTTTCTTTTCACGAAGCTTTTGTTGAATAAGATGATCGAAACAGCCAAATCAACGGGAATCCAAGGCCGAATAGTGAATGTGACGTCCAATATCCACAGCCGGCTTTCCGGCGACGTAATCGAATGTCTCGGCCAGATAAGCCAAAGCAACAGGTAAGATTAATTTTCCTTTGCTTGCGTATCAATGGCGGTCTGATAGCGATACTGATATTAACTCGCAGCAGAGAGTACGACGCGACACGTGCTTACACCGTCCAACTCGCTCACAGACTTCAGGTTCTTCCTCAATATCAATTGGTATGTTCATAGAACGATTTCACGCTCGACTTTGTTTTTGACGAAATCGGAACAGGAAATGGAGGCAAATGTTACAGTAAACTGTGTTCATCCGCGCGTAGTGAAAACCAAATTAAACAGAGATCGTGAAGGCTTCGTCATAGGTATCCAAACAATCGAAACATTTCTATATAACTAATTAATGAATGAGAAATGCATATTTGATTCTCTACATGGCGTCAAATTCCTCAAGGAGCAGCAACAAGTTGCAAAGTAGCCGCGAATCGGAGCGTGGATAATGTGAATGGCAAATACTTTGCGGATTGCAATGATTAAGGTGGTTGTGAATCCAAATCAGGTACCAAGTCCACGCACTTAGCTGCACGCCTATGGTCCGCCTCTGAAACCATCGTCTCCACATTTACAGGTAACCCTGAGCCTAATCTCACCAATTTGATCACTCAATTCAATGAATTACTTAGGATTGAGTTGTTTATGAACTTTTAGATTTTGTAACGGTCTAGATCAACAGCTAGCAGATATTGTTCTCTTTAGACTTTCCTTTTTAGTTTTCATGAAAGCTTTAAAACAGGTCTATTAGGAAAAAGTTTCCATCCACATCCTTGTAAATGGTGGTGAGACATCATAGATTTAATAAATAATAAATATAAAAGCTCCAACTCACCCCATAGCTATTAGATATTATCCTAGTTTTTTCTTATTGAGTTCCCCCTCAAGGTTTTAAAATGTGTTTGCTAGTGAAATGTTTTCACACCTTGTAAGGAATATTTTGTTCCCCTCACAACCGAGGTAGGATCTCACAATGAAAGTCCGAATAGGACAATGTCGGTTAGCAGTGGGCTTGAGTTGTTAGAAATTGTATCGTGTATGCTAGGAAAATATTTCCACACATTATGAGGAAGGTTTTGCTCCCCTCCCAACCAAGTGGGATCTCAAGTCCAAAGAGGACATCGGTAAACTTGACTGTTACAAATGGTATTAGAGTCATACACTAAGTTAGCGGTGGCCTTAAGCTGTTATAAACGACATTCGAGTCATACACCGAGCAGGTGTGCCAGCGATGACACTGTGAGAAGGCGCTATTGGTGTGGAATTGGGAGGCCGCCACAAGAACATAGGTGCATGCACCAAAACTTTCAACCCTCTAAACTCCGCCCTTCACTCTTGACCCCCTCTCGTTCTCTAGATAACTTTATGGGCCCATCACAATGGGCCGCCCATAGAATGGGTACACCCAGTAAACCGGCCCAATAAAAAATACACCAAGTTTAATCAAATTAAATATGCAATTTTTTTTTCAATTAACACAAATATAATAAAATAAAACAAATAATAGAAAAAGAAAATTACTGTTTTTATGCATAAATGCAAACCTTAAAAAAAATTTATAAAATCTCTTTCACAAATGGGCCACACAATAATTAATGCAACCCCGAAAATAATAATTAAAAAATTAGATTTTGTTGAAATTTATAATTTTAAATTAAGACTGAAAAGACGCGTTTAGATTCTACCGACATAATTTATTTACTTCACGATTGAATTTTTTTGTATTAATTTAATATTAGAAGTTTTTATGTGTTAATTATCATTTAATAAAAACATTGAAATAAATAATAATAAAATTCATATTTTAAAAAAAGTTAAAATAAATAATGAAATAATAATAAAAGGAAGAGAGGGCCCCACTTTGCAAAAAATAAAATAATAATAATTTATTTTTTTAAAGTGGGACCCATTAATGTCTGTACCATGATATTAACAAGGCTTTTTATACGACAAAATGGGCTTTTTGATATTTATTTTAGTTGAAAACGCCACCGTTTGGCGCATTGTGATTGTGGTTTGTGGCTTACCATCCTCACAATTACGCCTAATTGAGTCTTCAAATTTTTAGATTCGTGTATATTTCATTTGTGAATTTGATTCGTTCTATAGATAAAGACGTTTGAGGGATTTTTCAACCATTAAATGTACGATATTCGAGAGTGCAAGCAATTGAGACGTTACGAGCCATATAAAATATATGAGATGGAATTCTAAGTTTATTATGCACCCAACTGATTTTGACAAATGGTTATACGACCTAGTGGAACATCTGTCGAATGTTCGATTGACACCAAATTCTACCAGCATTCATCCTTCATATTAGCTAACTAATATTAGATATTTTTTTTACATTTTTTTTAAAATTCATTGAACATTAATGGAAAATTTAAGGTTTTATTAAATATAATTTAATCACATTAATGAATGATGAGAATTGGGCAATAAAAACTTTTATAATTTATTCTCTTTTTTATTTTCTCTCTCTACATTAATTGATTTTCCATATTATTCCCAACTTCATTATTCGTTTCCCACTTGCATCTTCCATTCATAGCTAAATAAAGTCTCCCCCTTCTTTTTCCTTCAAATAAACATTTTTTTAGCTTCAAATAGAAACTCAACTTTTTCTTTTTTAAAAAATTATTGAATGAGATCGCGTGCGTATAATTGTCGTCTCGTTATAAGGGTAAGAATTTGGTCATAGATTAAGATCGTACTTGACGTGACAATGAAAATTAAGAAGATAGGTCATGCACATCTCGAGTTAGTAAGTCATTCTCATAACACGTTTTTTGGTTTTGGCTCTTCAACTCAACCTCTTCTATAAGTCTTATCGATGACTTGATTGAGATTGTTTGATCCACATGTTACCCTAATCAGCCTACTTAGACCGTAGGATCCTAGGTTTTAGGTTGTGTTCATGCCATTTTTAATCATTGTTTAATTATATGTTCCAATGTTGGAAACTGTATCGACCTAGATCTCACCACTAGTAGATATTGTTCTCTTTAGGCTTTCCCTTTCGGGCTTCCCCTCAAGGCTTTAAAACGCGTTAGCTAGGGGAAGGTTTTCACACCCTTGTAAATGGTGGTTTGTTCTCCTCCCCAACCAATGTAGGACATCACAATCCACCCTCGTTCGGGGCTCAGCGTTCTCGTTGGCACTCTTTCCTTCCTCCAATCGATGTGGGGCCGCCCCCAAATCCACTCCCCTTTGGGGCCCAGTGTCCTTACTGGCACACCGCCTCGTGTCTACCCCTTTCGGGGAACAGCGAGAAGGCTGACACATCATCCAGTGTCTGCCTCTGATACCATTTGTTACGGCCCAGATCCACCGCTAGCAGATATTGTCCTTTTTAGGTTTTCCCTCCAGGCTTTAAAACGCGTCTGCTAGGGGAAGGTTTACACACCCTTATAACGGGTGGTTTACCTTGCTCATCATTTTGAGAATCTCCGAAAAAAAAGACGGAATCTTGAGGAGAAAAAAGTCGCGAAATAATGTTAGAAAAACATCTCTCATACATTTTTTTTCATTTTTTTCAAAAAAAATATTTATTAATTTTTTTATAAAAAAATTTCATACCCTTTCTTTTATTTCTAATTAATAATCAAAATTTCTTGTTTTAGATATGCTAACTTAAATTTAATTATAAATATATATTTTTTTTTATAAAAAATGACAGATATATATATATACACACATATATATACACATACACACACATATATATACACATATATACACATATATACACACATATATATACACATATATATACACATATATATACATATATATATGGAATTGTGCGGCCATTAAATAATAAGGCCACAATTGGGTCTGTTCCGCTGTAGAACTTTGCGCCGTCGAATGAAATGATCCAAACCCAAAATCAGAGACGACTGAGCAATTATTCCCAATCCCGCCGCCGCCGTCAAATCCCTAATCATCATGGTCACCGCCACTTCCCCCTCCTCCAAGCGCAATAAACTGGCTCTCCACCACCACCACCACCACCACCACCACCACCGCCACCGCCACCGCCACCGCCACTGCCCCTCTCCGCCGCTCCTCCCCGGCCTCCCTGATCACGTAGCCCAGTTATGCCTCTCCCGCCTCCCCCCTTCTCTCCTCTTCTCCGTCAGCCGCTCATGGCGGCGCCTCATCTACTCCCCTGCCTTCCCCCCTTTCTTCTCTATCTACGCCCTTCTTTCTTCCTCCCCCAATTCCCTCGATTTCTTCACCTTCGATCCAATCTCTTCGAAATGGAATCGCCTCCCGCCGCCGCCTAATCCGCCTCCTCTAGATCTGATGATCCACCACCCCTCTTTCCTCTCCCGCCACCTCCCTGTTCAGTCTCTCGCCGTCTCCGGCCACCTCCTCCTCCTCGCCGCCACCACTCAAAACCTCCTCCCTGCCCTGCCTCGCCCTTTAATCTTCTCCCCTGTTTCCAATTCCTGGCAATTCGGTCCTCCCCTCATAACCCCACGTCGCTGGTGCGCTGCCGGCGCACTCCGGGGCTCCGTCTACGTCGCTAGCGGAATTGGGTCGTTCTTCTCCACCGACGTCGCTCGCTCTGTTGAGAGATGGGATTTGAAAAAACCCAGAGGCGGAGGAGGAGGCGATTGGGAGAAGGTTAGTGGATTGAAGGATCGGAGATTCAGTCGAGACGCCATTGATGCTGTGGGGTGGAGGGGAAAGCTTTGTATGGTGAATGTGAAAGGGGATGCGCCGAAAGAAGGGTTGGTTTATGATTTGGAGAGGGATTTGTGGGAGGAGATGCCGGAGGGGATGGTCGGAGGGTGGAGAGGGCCGGTGGCGGCCATGGATGAGGAAGAGATGTATGTAGTGGATGAAGGCGGTGGATGTTTGAGAAGGTATAATCCGGTGGGGGATTTGTGGGAACAAGTAATTCAGTCTAATAGGTTGAAAGGGGCGGTTCAGATGGCGGCCGGCGGTGGCAGAGTCTGCATCGTGTGCGGTGGAAGTAGAGGGGAAATCGTGGTGGTGGACGTGGTAGCGTCGCCGCCGTGGCTGAGAGTTGAGCCGACGCCGCCGGGAATGGAGGTGGTCGCCGTCCACGTGCTGCCGAGAATGAGTGCACCGGAGTCATGATTCGCCGTCGGTTACAGCCGGAAGTGATTTTTTTTTTTTTTTCATTTTTTTTCCTTCTTGTTTATTACATTGAAACTATTTAACAAAATAATATCGAAATTTTGATTAATTAATGTTTTTTTTAGAGAAAAAGTGAAAATTTGTCGGTTTTAAGGAGAGGATAAATTTTCTTGGTTTTAGTAGGCGAAGTGTTTATTATTTGAATAGGAAAATTCTACCAAGAAAGTGCAATTCAAGGCTTTCTTCAAGCTCAACTTCTTCTCATGCTCGACCTCAAGATTTAGGCTTCTAACGGAGGAGCCTCCGATCGAGGATTCGAGCATAGTTCTTAATTAATATATATACATTCGATCAAGCAATCAGAGACTCTAATCTTTCTATCTCCCTTTATCGATTGAAACAACTCTTAGTGTGTGCATATATATATATATATATATATAAATTGGTTAATGGATGGTATATATATATATATATACACACACACACACACGTAGTGATTAAAGGAAGTGTAGAACTAAGATTTCCTTTAATTTCTTGATCGATATATAAAGAAATTAAAGGAAATCTTAGTTCTACACTTCCTTTAATCACTACGTATAAACGGGTTAATGGGTAACTCTATGACAAATTTAACATTGACGATTGATATCGAGTTTCAAAGAATTTATTGGTTGTGTTTGGATCAGTGAAGTTCTATGTATGAATGATTTTTGTTGAAATTAACGTGTTTAAAAAAAAAAAAAAAAGAACTCTTTAGATGATTTTTGTTGAAATTAACGTGTTTAAAAAAAAAAAAACTCTTTAGATCCTACCTAAACTATTATCGTGGATATTATTATTTATATTTTTTTACTATTTATAAATAATAGGTTTTATTGACATTTTTTTAAAATTTCTAGGGTTATGATGGTACCAAATAAATATATAACATTTTTCATTTAAAAAAGGTGCATAAAATGTACCAAAAACATGATTTTTTTTTTATAGTTCTCGTTCATTTAAATTATTTTATTTTTTCTATACCAATAAAGCTATTTTTTTGTAGTAAAAAATATTTAATTCACATAAAATCTTATTAATTTTTCTACTTTAATATAATTTAATTAATAAACAAATTATAATTTTTCACCTATTTCACCTCCTAAATATAAAATGAGCGTCAAATTTATAATTTTCTCTTTTTCAATTTTCGCTTTTAATAAACAATATCGAAAACTTTGAAATTAAAAAAATATCCCATTTTTGTTAAAATTATTTTTTTTCTTCACATTATATTTATTCCTGAAACTGTAACTACCACATTTTTTAACATAAAACTTCAACCATTATTTTTTATATAAAATAAATAAATATTAAAGGTAAATAAATAAAATTGGTTGAATACATTACATTAACTGCTCCGCCACCGCCGGAAGCAAGAAAATTAGGTAAATGATAAAAAATAAAATAAAAGTGAAATTACAACAAAACCCTTTACTTCATATGTACTTTCCTACATTAAAAAACTGAAAAAAAAAACAAAAAAAAAAACTTTCTATTTTTTTTGAAGCAACGTAAAAATACTTTTTCAAAAAATTAAAAAAAGTACTTGAAGTAAGAACATGGTGGAACGGATTCGGGTTCGGGTTGGTCAAGTTGCTATCTGAACCCTCGAATGTTTTAGGGTTGAGTTGATTTTTTTTTTATAATTATTTTAAAAACTCCTATTTATCCATATACATGTGGCGTTAATAACTACAAAACTCCTAAAACTCAAATATCAGATATTCATGATCACAACCTACACTAACATTTATTATCAACATCAAATAATTCCTTTCCTGACCAAAACTCCTCGTTGGCTGTTTTAGTTCCTGTGTGGGTGAAACATTTGTGAACCTCTTTAATGTTCCCCGACATTTATCAGCTAGCAATGTTTCATTTTAGTGAGAATTTGACTTTTCTTTTGCAAGCAAGAGATTAAGAGATAGAATATCGGTATTTTTCTCGAGTTAGATATTTGACATTTTAGGATTCTGTTGTCCTTGTCTATATCGACCTTCTAATAAATCTCTTAACTTTACTTTTGCGTTTAACAAGTTGTTGTGCTGTTAGTTTAATGTATTACTTGAGAATTAAAGAAAGATGAGTGAAAGAAAATAATTACCATGAGATAAAGGATCTCCTTCAAAATACTGCTGCCCTGGCTCTAGCCAGATTTCATGCACAACCTGCAAAAAAAAAAAAAAAAAAAAAAAAAAAAAAAAAAAAAAAAAAAAAAAAAAAAAAAAAAAAAAAAAAAAAAAAAAAAAAAAAAAAAAAAAAAGACAGAAACGTATATAAATTAGGCAACTAAACGGATCTCTTCAACTTTTCAAACTTGTACTCCAAGCATGAGTCAGATATCGGACAGCAGTAGGCTCTGAAGAGGGTGAGAGGAGAACAAATGTCAGTGAGGACGTTAGGTCTCGAAGGAGGTGGATTGTGAGATCTCACGTTGGTTGGAGAGGGGAGTAAAACATTCTTTATCCGCATAGAAACTTGTCCCTAGCAGTTGCGTTTTAAAATCTTGAGGGAAAGACCGGAAGAAATAAGGGCATAGAAACTTGTCCCTAGTAGATGCGTTTTAAAATCTTGAGGGAAAGACCGGAAGGGAAAACTAAAAAAAAAAAGACAATATTTGCTAGTGGAGGATTTAGACGGTTACAAACGAAATTAAAAACAAAGAAGTGACGTATAGTAATATTTGGGGAAAAGCCTTGAGAATCCACAAGAACCAGCACCTAATTTGATAGCAACAATGCTGAAGTTCATATGTAGTATACATTCTGCATGGAAATGTGATGAGAAATTTGAATATGAAAATGAAAGTTGGACTAATTATTAATCTAAAATTGTAACCGCTTAAGCTTAAGCCCATCGCTAGCAGATATTTGTTCATTTTGGCCCGTTACGATCACTGTCAGTCTTACAGTTTTAAAATGCGTCTACTAGGGAGAGGTTTCCACACCCTTGTAAGGAATGTTTCGTTCCTCTCTCCAACCGACGTGGGATCTCACAATCCTCCCTCCTTGGAGGTCCAGTGTCCTCGCCAGCACACCACTTATTTGGCTCTGATACCATTTGTAATAAATAACTCAAGTCCACCACTAGCAGATATTGTCCGCTTTGACTTGTTAGTAGACGCGATTTTAACGCGTTAGAAGAGGTTTCCACAGACTTGTAAGAAAAGTTTTGAGGTTTCTACACACTTATAAGAAATGTTTTGTTCCCCTTTCCAACTAATGTAGGGTCTCACACTCCACCCTCCTTAGGGGTCCAGCATCCTCATTGGCACACTGCACAGTGTTAGGCTCTGATACCATTTGTAATACCCCAACCTTACCGCTAGCAGATATTGGTTATCCACTTTTGTCATAGAAACAACGAGGATTACGGGATTATCAACTTTTTGTTAATAATTGAGAACGGAACATAAAATCACCATCAAAATTTCCTAGTTTTGAGAAACAAAAATTCAAATCACTGTGCCATATGATATCAACAGTTCAATACATTATTATCAGCAACAAAAATAAAACTGGGTCCTCAAGAATTTATATCCATAAGACATTTGATCAGAAAAATTAAAAAAACCAGACCCAACCTCATCCAGTCTGCCAGCTTGGTTTGGTCAGGTACTTATAGTTTCATTTTGTCTGCTTTTAAGTATAATGCCTACAGCATATTGCATCATAAATCTTTCTCTTTATTTCAAATGCATTATCGGTCGATAATTATTGAAAGGAGTAGTCCCACGTTGACTAATTAAGAGAAATATCATGGATTATAAAGTAAGGAACATTATCTCCATTAGTACGAGGCATTTTGGGGAAAACCAAAAGCAAAGGCTCAAAAGTGGACAATATCATAACGTGAGTCGTGATTTCTGACATTATCTTGGTTTGCATAATGGAATCAACTTTACAACCTAACAACTTGTTTGGGTCGGGTTGAGTTCATCAACTTTGGGTCCATTACCATGATCACATCAGATCAAAAGTTTTAAACTAACAAAGATAAAAGAAGACATTTCTCATTGATGCAAGTTGCATTTAGTTACCAAAGAAGTATTGGGGTACTGGCATAAAAACAAATTTTAAGGGAAATAGAGGAATAATGTCTTATAATTTATAGTAGAACATGGCTAGATCCTCCTATGTAGAGCTATTGATCTGTTAAAACATGGGATGTAGGAGAAATTGTTTGGACATGCAGTGGAAAGAAATTTAGGTTTTGGTGATTCTTGTTTCTTCCTCTTGAAGTGTTGCTTTTAATTCTTTAGTAAGCACGATTGTGCAAGTATTGTACAACAGCTCAAGCCCACCACTAACAGATATTGTCCAATATTGTCATTTTTGGGTTTTTCCTTCCGTACTTCTCCTCCTCAAGGTTTTTAAAATGTGTCTTGCTAGAAAGAGGTTTCCACACCCTTACAATAGTGCTTCGTTTCCCTCTCCAATCGATATGGAATCTCGCAATCCACCTCTCTTCGGTAGCACTCGTTCCCCTCTCCGATCGATGTGGGATCTCACAAAATACACCTCCTTTCAAGGCCCAACATCCTCGCTAGCACTCGCTGGCAGACCGCCGTGACTATTTAGATAAGTTTTGTATATCCTTGGTTAAGTTTAGGGTCTTTTTCTCCATTTTTGTATATTTCATTTATTAATTAAAGTTTGTATATTTCATTTTTGTTTTTATTCGTTGAAACATGAGTCAGACGAGACCAAGCAAGGAGAAGCAATACCTTCTTCATCTGTGCCCCAAGTATGAATCTTGAGGTATAGATACTCAAAATATGCAGTAGAGAGCTTCGAAAATAAAAGAAAATGCAAACAAAAACGTACCTTTGCCTATGCAGACACCGTCTTGGTCTAGCTCATGATCCTTCATTCCTAGAAGCTTGAACTGAAGACTCTAGCCCTGCCACATAATATGTTGATAGGTTAGGTATGCACCTAAACTGATACCGTATCCATAGCCATCATCTTCAAATAGAACACCTTTAGCCTTTCTTGTAAATAAGATTAATATTCTTTTAAACTTGCAGAAGGAAAAAGTTGCAAGAAATATGTTGACCATGAACACACGAAATCCAGAGAAATCAATATTTGTCTAATTTATGTACGAAAGATCTTCATGCATTTTAGAAGTTAAAGAATTAGAGGCTCTCCTAAGGTAAGCTTCAAGTAATAAATGGTTCTGATTACTGGGCCAGCCGACACTTAAACGAATTCAATAGACAAAATGGCTCCTTTCCCAATTCAACCCCTTTGGGGCCCAGCGTTCTTGCTGACACTCGTTCCCTTCTCTAATTGATATGGGACTCCCCAATCTACCCCTTTTCGGGGCCCAGCATCCTTGTTGGCACACCACTTTGGGTCCCATCCCCTTTCGAGGCTGGCTTAGCCTCCTCGCTGGTACATACCCTTTATCTGGCTCTAATACCATTTGTAACGGCCCAAGCCCACCACTAACAGATTTTTTACAAGCTGAAGATGTGCTTGATGGGATGTTGGCGGAGATGCTTATTATCCTCATACTGGATGGTGGATATACTAATTTCTATCAGCATTGGCTCTGGGGTTGTATTATGGTGATTCACTCTCTTTACAATATCAAATTTCTTCTTCTCATACCTTTAGTTCTCTAAGAACAGAGCAATCCGCTAAGGCTTTGCTAAGAATCATGATGGGGTCTTTGTAAAACTATTCAGCTCCCATTATTAGCTTTAGATCTATAATTGTTGAAGATGGTTGGAAGGGTCCCACGTTGGCTAATTAAGGAGATGATCATGAATTTAGAAGTAATGAATATATCTCCATTGGTACGAGGACTTTTGGGAAAACAAAAAATAAAAGCATGAGAGCTTATATTCAAAGTAGACTATCATACCATTATGGAGAGTCGTGATTCCTAACATGATATCAAAGTCATGCCCTTAACTTAACCATGTTAATGAAATTCTGAAGTGTCGAATAAAGAAGTTGTGAGCATGATTCCTAACATGTTAATGCCCTTAACTTAACCATGTTAATGAAATTCTTAAGTGTCGAATAAAGAAGTTGTGAGCATGTAGTCAATAGTGACTCAAGTGACTCAAGCTTGAACAAACATCAGCATGTTAAAGGCTTTTGGAAGGTAAGCTCATGGACAGTAAAAACTCGTTATAAACAATGAAAATATAAAAACTAGGGAAATGAGATCTACTCATCAACTCTGAAATGGGTAACTTCTTACCGGTACATGTCATCATCCATCCTTCATATTGAATCTCTTCCATCTCGAACAATTGTTAATTAACTCCAACAAGATCGAACAATTGTTTCATCTCGAACAATTCTTTTTTATTTGACAATTGTTTCGTGTCAACTGAGTGATAACAACCAACACATCTTCTTTCATCTCGAGCAATTGTTCCTAAAGAAGATAATTATGGGAATAACCTGACTCTTCTATTCAACCCTATTGTCAAGCATGATTCAGCAGTTCACACAAGGGAGAATATATGATATGAAAAAAAGAGGGCCCAAATGCGATTAAAGAAGTAATGGTTGTGAGCAATACCATAGAAGAAATTAATGGGCCTTTGTCGTTACACGAGTCATCAGAGCCAAGTTTTTCACAAGTTCACAAGCCTCACCTTCTGGAGTATCGCATGACAAAGCATACCCCCACCCACTACAGCAATAAATATCACGCATAAATCAGAAACATTTTGTACAATACCAAAGAAATTATTGTGGACATTGTTCTTAATAATTAGACATTAAGAACAAGATCCAACCAAAGTAGCAGTAATAATTATTGAGATAAATTTTTGTATGATTGATGGTTGTAATGCTCTTGGTCCACTAACTTTATTATAATATAATTTAAATATAATATAAAAGGAGTTAGTATAAAATGCAACGAGGGTATTTCTGCTGCAGATCACAAAGCAATTTGAAAATAAAGAAACTATTCAAACCTTCGGTGTGGTAAATATATTAAGCTGGACATAGATCATCTCATTTTCCATCTTAATAACTGTTTTACTATTTGTTGCCTCTCTGCTGCTTGTAACAAATGCATTTATTACTGGGAAGCAACAACGACAAATCAGGCTTAAGTTACATGCTCCTGAAAATGAAATGAACGAATCGATGATTAAGGACGTTCTTAGGAGATTAAGTTAAGACTTACGATATCACAATTCGAAGCATAAAACACAAACAATACATGATTGGAAGAAGAGTTGGTGTTTATCTGATTTCTTTTCGCAGTTAGCACACATAATTAACCAAAAAAATGCCTATAACTTATTGAAAAAAATAAATGGTTCGGTGTTAGAGGAGCGAAATTACCGATATTATTCCCGAGAGACCCCAAACAAGATGGCTAGCAAGAGTATACTTCTCAACATCTTGGACTAATTTCTCCACCTCAGCATCACTGGGCTGCTTGACCTGCATATGTGTAACATAACATGAGAGCTCAAAAATCAATATAAGTAGCTCAAGGATGATACAATATAATGCCATACAAATGCATCTTTGAACTTCCAGAAAATCTATCTTCATCACCCAAAATTTTGAACTTCTTGAATGGTAGACATTAGAAATTTGAAGGATCCTTGAAATTTAGGACAGGGAGGGCATTAAACAAAAAGGGCAGAAGAAAAGAACTTGCACAGAAAATCAAAGCATCTTAGGAATGAGCATTATATTGTATTCATACAGACACGAACTGGCATGGCTGCATATTATTTGATCCCTTGACGACCGTTCATAGGTCCTATTCTATAGTATCTTGTAAAATTACCTTTAGCACCCATATATGTTTGCACAAATCTTTTACGCTCTTCCAAACCTGTTACAGAAAAAGAAATCAATACTGCCCTTCAATCATTATAACTTGCATATTCATAATCTCTACTTTCCATAGGTCGAATCGTAGGTATGGAACGCCAAAGGGTAGTAAGATAATGAGCCCACAGAAGGTTCTGCTAAGATAGCTCAAATAAACAAGTCACATTGGCGAGCCACAGGGAAGCAATGTGTGGTATTTTCACACTAAACAAACCCAGCAATAAAGATTCTTAGCTGTGTTCTTGCAGAAAATAACCAAGACATGCCGAGATAAATTGGAAGCTTTATGTACACTCTCAAATTCTGCAAATAACCATAGGAATTGGTCCAATAAAGGTGGAACAAAGTGAGATTACAGTTGACTGGTTCCAATTAAGAGCCCTCTTCTGATGAACTTCAGTTTTACAATAAAGGTGGAACATATTATATATGCAAGGTAAACCTATCAATCCACTAAAATAGAAGGTTGATATCTTGTGATTAACTTGCTTTTTGAATCATAATAAAAGTTCTTTTGAGAATTCTTGGAGATTTTATCCTTTGATGCTTGGTTGCATCACCTTGCATAGATAATTGGAGACTTTGAAATCACATAAAACACAACAAAGTCTTCATAGCATATAGGCATCCTCCTCCCAATCACCACCGTCTTTCTGCAGTATTCAACTAAATAATAATAACATTCACGAAGGAACTGTACATAAGGTCAGATAAACGGCACATATGAGAACTAATAGATTCACTAACAGCATTCTCGGTCATAGAAGGCTCGCCAATTCTTACATCCAAAAACCTGCAAAACTCCAGAAGAATTATACAATTGGAGACAACTGAAATGGGGTAAAGCACAGCAACGTTTTCATAGCATATAGGAATCCTCCCAATCACCACGTCTTTCTGTAAGTAAGGTCAAATAAGCGGCACATATGAGAACTAATAGATTCACTAACAGCATTCACGGTCACAGAAGGCTCGCCAATTCTTACATCCAAAAGCCTGCAAAACTCTGGAAGAATACCTTTAAACTATAGCTGTAGCAGTCACAGAATACCGATTGTTTAAAATATGGTAAAGGGCTCGATCTGAAAAAGATGTAGTTTCTCCTTCATACAAAGCAATCTGAAAAAGATGCACTTTGTTTGTTTTTATATCATAATCAAAGAACATCAGACAATTCAGTTGTAAACATACCAAAGCATTATTCTCCTCGTTCACATCAAGATACTCGATTAAACCTTCCCGTGAATAATCATCAAATGTACAGACTTCATCCCCGAAAAAAAAAGGAGAAAGTGACCAAAAAATATATTTTCAATAACAACTCTGAAGGTTTGATGCAAAGTAAACACAAACGCTAGCAGCAGTTGAATGTACCTTACCGATGAGTCTATTCTTTAATTCTCGATACACCTTTGTCAGCAATGACAAGTGGACGACAAACTCGTCCTCCATCAGAAGCAATTATAAACACAGTGCTGATGCATTCGCACAGGCTTAGTGGTTTGGAAGTGCAATAAATATCAAATGAAGATGGAAATCATTTCCCGTTCAAGTATGAACATGGTCTCATGAAAGTATTGTCTCAATTACATGTAAACATAAATATGAGGGAAATCACATTTCCACTGCAAAAAATTGCGAACTTTCTACTTCTTGTGCTGAAATATTATGAAACATTGTCATATACAAGCTCATTGACCAGAGCTTGAATTTCTTCTGTAGAATGAGTTAGATTGAATGTAACAATAGATGTCCAAATTAAAACTAGTTAAAAAACACTGCAGACTCAATCCATAAGTGCTAAATACTATACTGAAGCATTGTCCCATAAGAATAAACCTAGAGTGGCTGGCACATTGTTATAGGAGAACAGGAGCAGAAAAGAGAATAACCTGCTTGTCATTCACAAAGGCGTTGACAAACTCGCCAGTTTCTCCAGCTCTCCTCAGCATTCTCATACCTGTAGCGAAGTACTAAAGGAAGAGAAGCCGACAAGTGTGAAACAAGTAGGCAGTAGGAAACTTTTAATCAACATGCTATATTTCAATCACATAGAGAATGGAATGTAAACTATAAAAACTAGATTTCAAGAATATCTTCTCCTGAGGCCTCCGATGTTTGCCAAGGATACGTCCATTAAAAATAACAAGAAGTGAATTTGGTGTATGTAGCTCTTCTGCAGAAAGAAGCTCCAAGTCGTCACACCCAAACAGTAGCACTATCGATACAACAATGTACAATTCAAAATTCATATGAAACATTGGTGCGTTGAACAGCCAAGAACTTCTCAAGAACAGCAAATAAATAAACACAAAGCCCCGAGGAGCCACACGAGAAATCGCATCCAGAAATCCTCGTAAGGTGTGTGGTAATGGACCTTGTGTGGTAATAACTAATCTTCAAATAGACAATGGAGAGGAAAGTCAAAAGAGAACTTGTACTGAAATATTATCTAAGTAGAAGCACATCAATTGTTGCACTTACGGAAATAAAGCTTGCATTGATATAACCCCATGCAGAAGGTCTGTAATCCTTACAAGAGTCAAGTACGCCTCTAGTCTCATCAACTGAAAATATTCATACAACAATTCAGCTATCAAATTGGACTAACTAATAATGAAAAACTTTTAGTTTTCAAATAAAAAATTCAGTAAAACAAAAATTTTAGCACAGAGGCTTGAATGGTACTTGAACTTACAGGGTTAATACATCCGTGTAACGATTTTTACTGATGTTGACATTGCCAAGAGCCACAGAGCAATTTCTCCTCATATCCGATGCAGCTATTCTCTGGGCCTGAATTCACAATGAGACAACAGAGCATGAAGATTATAACATAGGATCGATTGCATTAGGATCGTCACTAAACACTGGTAGGAAGGCCAAGGAATTGCTTGTCAATGTCCAAATCGATTGCATTAGGATCGTCGACTTGCTTTCCGTTCCTACAGATTTTGTCATGGTAGAAAGTAATTTACCAGTAACCAACAATAGATTCATCATTCCACCTTCAAAAATTCAGGAAGAAGTTGAATACGGCTGACTTGATAGAGGAAGGCCAAGGAATTGCTTGTCAATGTCCAAATCGATTGCATTAGGATCGTCGACTTGCTTCCCGTTCCAACAGATTTTGTCATGGTAGAAAGTAATTGATCGGTAACTAACAATGGCGGAAACCGGAAATTCAGCATCGATGCAGTCAAAGGAAAACGAAGAAATAAAGATTCTGAGAGAATGCGGTTGGCTTTACTTTGAATCGTCGTCCGGCGGCTTCACGACCATGGCTTCTGGGCTTCTGGGCTTCTGAGCTTCAGAGACTCCTGAATGAAAACCATCCCAAAACCTTGCTTTTATAGGCGACTTACGGTTAACGGCTACTTGTTTTTTTTTTTTTTTTTTTTTTTTTTTTTTTTTTTTTTTTTTTTTTTTTTTTTTTTTT